TCCTCAGGCTGTCGTTTATTTCCCTTAATCAGTCTTCATGGTCTTTTGTCTGTCTCTTTTTTCCTCAGTTTCCCTCTTTGCCATCAACTTGTCTTCTATGTCACTCACTCCTTCTTCCACCTCGTTAACCCTCGTCGTTAGGACTTCTAGTTTGGATTGCATCTCATTCAATTGATTTTTAATTTCTGCCTGATTCGGTCTAAATTCTGCAGTCATGAAGTCTCTTGAGTCCTTTATGCTTTTCTCTAGAGCCACCAGTAGCTGTATAATAGTGCTTCTGAATTGGCTTTCTGACATTGAATTGTAATCCAGATTTTGTAACTCTGTGGGAGAGAGGACTGTTTCTGATTCTTTTTTTTGAGGTGAGGTTTTCCTTCTAGTCATTTTTTGCTCAGTGCAGTGGCCAAAAACAAGTTGTATTGGGAAAAGGAGAAAAAGAGAGAGAGAGAAGGAAAGAAAAGAGAAAAAGAAAAAAGAAAAAGAAGAAAAAAAGGAAAAAAGAGAAAGAAAAAGAAAGAAAGGTGAAAAAAGGGGGTGGGGGAAGCAATCAGAAATCAAAAAGAAAACCAAAACCAAAACCAAAACAAAAAACACGGGGGAGTATCTTCTGATTCTGTAGACTTTAAGTCCCTTGACTTCCCCTGGAACTGGTCCGTCCAGCTGGTCTTCTGGGGGAGGGGCCTGCTGTGCTGATTTTCAGGTGTTAGCACTTGGGGGAGCTGCTCAGCCCCTGCCTGGTGCAGGGCTCAGTGGGGGTTGTTCACCCCGTGAGGCCCCAGGAGGAACAACCACAGTGGCGGGGCCAGCTCTGCAGCCCTGGAGTCAGCTCCCGCAGTAGCTCCGGAGCTCTCGGTCTTCAGGGCCTGGAGGCTCTGGGGCGGGGCCGCTGATCTGCTCAGCTGGGGCAGGAGCGTCCTTGCTATCCTGGGCCCTCCCGGCCTCTGCCTGTCTCGGGGGAGGCCGGATCCTGGGCTGTCTCCCAGCGCCCTGTGCTCCGGGGCCTGCGCTGTTGGATTCGCGCTCCCGCCCCGCAGCCCCCTCCGCGGAGCCGCCTCCCGAGCCCCTCCGAGCTGCTCTGGGCCCCGCCGTGCGCGCTGCAGCCCTTAGGGAGCTCGGCGCACTCTCCCGGGGCGCAGGTGTCTGTGAGTGTCCCCAGGAGCCCGAGGGCATCCCCGCCCTCCTGGGTCCTGCTCTAACTCCCTGCGGGCCCCTTTCCGCCCGGGAAGGTTGGTGCAGCTCCTGCTTCTCCGGGACGGGGCTCTCCTGTCCTGGGGACACTCGCCCCGGCCTCAGCCCGGCTCTTCGCGGGGCCCCTCCCCCTCGGAGGCCTTTTGTTCCTTTATTTCTCTTTCCCCATCTTCCTACCTTGATAGAAGCGCGAACTCAATATATATAAAAAAAAAAAAAAAAAGGGATCCCTGGGTGGCGCAGCGGTTTAGCGCCTGCCTTTGGCCCAGGGCGCGATCCTGGAGACCCGGGATCGAATCCCACGTCAGGCTCCCGGTGCATGGAGCCTGCTTCTCCCTCTGCCTGGTCTCTGCCTCTCTCTCTCTCTCTCTCTCTGTGACTATCATAAATAAATAAAAATTAAAAATATATATATATAAAAAAAGAAGCGCGAACTCTTCTCACTGTAGCATTCCAGCTGGTCTCTCTTTAAATCTCAGGCCGAATTCGTAGATTTTCAGGATGATTTGAAGGTTATCTAGGTAATTTGGTGGGGACAGGTGACTTGGGGACCCTACTCTTCCGCCATCTTGCCCCTCCTCTAATAACAAAATTTAAAAAAATTTTTAATGTATCTTATAGATACATGCCATCTATAAGAAATATAAGGCCATAGATATTTTAAATGTTTAAGAAAAAAAAAAAAGAAAGAGTTTCCCCAAATTGAGCAGCAGGCCCAGGAGCTTAGCAACTGAATTCTATGAACCTTTCAGGGAACAGGTTGTCCTACGAGAAGAAAGAACGAGGACTCTGGCTCCGACGCCAGGGCCAAAGGAAGCCGGGTCCCTGCTCATCCGCGCGGGCACAGAACCACTGGAGGAGACCCCAGCCAGGCGGGGTGACCGGGGTGCTGCCCCCGAGGGGCAGCAGCGTCACAGGATGCCCGTCAGCATCACCACACCAAGGGGGCCCTCCCAGTCCCAGGGCCAGACACGAACAGCAGGGCGCGCTCCGGGGCCCCGTGTTCTCGGCGGTGGGGACGGCATCCCCCTACTGCGCCTGCGCCCAACAGCACACGCACCCCACTGTGCAGTCAGGCCTGCAGGGGTGCAGTTGTGCGGGAGTGGACAGGGGTAAGGGTACGCGTGTGTCAGGGCGCGTGGTGTGTGGGGTGAGGGAGCCAGTCTGCAGGCGTGCGGTGTGCCACCGTGGGAGGGTGCGGGTGTGCGGGCAAGTGCACGGGGCTTCAGCATGCACGTGTGGATGTGCGGTGTGTGAGCGTGTGGCCGGGGCGTGCACCTGCCGGGGCAGGAAGCTCCCCCCCTGAGCAGCCCCGCCCACGGCCCCACCCCGTCAGCCCCCATCCTGCTGGGCCCCAGGCCCCGAGCCCACGCTGTGCCCGCCCTGGCCTGCAGCAGCACAGCTTCGTGCCCGCGTGACGGCCGTCGCATGTGCAGGCCTCGCTGGCTGCCTGGGGGCCAGGCGCCCCGTGACACACAGACGGGGGCCCGACTGGCCGCACACCAACGGGGCTGGTTTGGGCCACTGCGGCCAGAAGCCTCCAGGAAGGGGGCGCATCCAGGGTCACGCAGCCGGAGGCGGCAGGTGGGCGCAGCACCGCAGGTGCAGCCGCGAACACGGCTCCCAGGCCCTCGGCGGCCGCGGCACCCCCGCCAGGCCCCGGCCTCAGTAGGCGGCCTCCGATGGCCAGGTCTCGGGCCCTTGTCCTGGCCACACGCGTCCCCGCTGCCGCCACAGCAGGAGCTGCCCCAGCAGGCGTCTCTGCCCAGGCCAGACCCCCCACCTGCCGGCCGGTGCTTCCCGCGGAGGGCGGGGGACAGGGAGCCCGCGAGCAGCCCTGACGCCACAGGGCCCGCGCCCCGGAGGAGCCTGAATGCAGGTGCACGGGTGTGCACGCGGGTGGGCGTGCGTGCTGATGGGCGCCCACCCGAGCACCCTTGCACCCACGCGTCAGGCAAAGGTCTTCACGGGGGCGGGTGTGCCCGCGGGGGTGGCGCCCGGGCCCCGGCGGGGGGGGAGCGTTGCCACCGGGCGGGGCGGGAGAGCCCCGAGAGCCCCAGCCGGCTCTGCCCCGGAGCTGCGACTGTTTAATGTGGTTCCAGCTCATTTAGCGCATTACCCGGGATTTCAAAGAGCCATTAGCACAAGACAATCCCTCGGTCTCCTGCTTCCACCTGAACGGGTTCCAACGTCAGGTCCTCTGCCAGGAGGGTGAGCCCACGTGCTCACGCGCGCACACGCACACACCACATGAAAGGAAGCCGTCACCGCTGCTTCCCCGCAGGCAGGCGCGCGGGGTGTCCCCACCGTCCACACGCTCACACACTCACGCAGGCTCACTGGGGGGCCAAGGGCCCAGCCTGTCCCCCAGCCCACGGGGCCCGGCCCCCCTGTGGCCTGCCGGCCCCGCAGAGGGCAGGCTGGTCCCACAGCTTGGGAGCACGGCCCCCCCAAGCCTCCCCACGCGGGAGGAGGAGAAGCAGCCCCCACCACGGGGAAGGGAGCTCAGGTGCGGGGCGACCACGCAGCAGCCCAGAGACACAGCACGGTCCCACAGTCTGCCACCAACTCAGCCCAGCCCTGTTCCCCCCAAGGCCCGCCGCGTCCTCTGCACACCAGGCCACGGCCACCCCGCTTGCCCAGCCCCAAGTGCTGAGCCCCCTTCTGAGCGGGTCCCCGAGGCGAGGCCCGGCCCGGCTCCCAGGGACACGCTCTGCCTCCCGCCACCTCGAGACGACAGCACCAGGACGCCCTGGGACTCCTGGGGACGAGAAGTTGAGAACCTTAGAACCACAGAAAGGCCCGGGGCTCTGCAGGCACCCACGTCCGCAGCGCCCACGGGGGACACCCAGCCCGCCTGCCTGTGCCGTGAGAGCCCCCTCCGGGCCGGCTGTGCATCCCACGCTCTTCCTGCCTCCCACGCCGCCCCTCTCACCTACAGCTGCCCCCCCCCCCAGCAAGGCTAGCTCGGTCGGAGGAAAGTCAGGGGAAAGGACAGCACGTGTCCTCCGGCTGGCAGGGCCACCTCCACCAGCAGCGCGGCCACCTGCCCCGTGCACGGCCTCCTGCCTGCTGCGACAGGGTCCCCACCCACGCCGGGCCTGCCTCCCCAGCCCGGGGCCCAGGCCTCCCCTCATTCAGATGAGGAAGCCCCATGGGGAGGTGGTGGGGACTCGGCAGGTGACTAGGGAGGGCTCCAGGGCCCCACCCTCGATAGCAGAAGCAGGAGCCCGAGGGACAGGGGAGGGCGGCCACCGGGTCAGCTTGGCAAGTGCGGGGGGGGAGGGGCTGGCGAGGGGAGGACCGGTAGTGTGGCCGCTGGAGAGGAGGAGGCGGAGGGACATGCCCGGTGGGTGCCCGGGGTCCCGGCGCGGGGAGTCCCCCGTCCTAGCTGAGGGCGGCCGCAGTCCTCGCCCCCCCACCGAGGCGGCCCCGGCACCTGCAGGCCCCAGCCTCGCCGTCAGGAACCCGATTCGGAGGCGGGTCAACAGCAGCGGCCGGCGTGTCGCCTGCGTTCTGATGTCTGCAGAGCCGGGGTGGCCTCAACGCCCCGCTGGCGGCTCCCCCCGCCAGGTTTACGGCCCGGTGGGCGCCGCACTCCAAGGAGAGGCTGGCCACTGCGCCCCTGCACCCGCGGCCCCCGGGGCCCCAGGACTCGGGCGGGAGAGGGCGGCGGTGAGAAGCCAGGAGAGCGCCGCTCCCACGGCTCCTCGGCTCCTCCCGCTGTGGGGCCTCTGGGGCGGCCCGGGCACGAAGGGCCTCGGATTGTCACAGGATTACATGAAATTCAACAAGGAAAAATACCAGCAGACTAGGGGGAAAATATATCTTTATTTTTAACATAGTAATTAAACTCCAGCAGAGTGAGGACAACATGAGCTTCTTTGTTTCCGTTTAATAAATACAAGTGAATAAAAATACTTTGTTTGCAAAGAGCCTCCTCTTCCTTCTCCAGATTCCATGGGAGGCCCCCACCCCCGCCCCGGCCCCTGCTGACGCCGCGCGAGCCCACCCGCCCGCCGCGTCCCCAGACCGCGTGCCCCGCCAACCTGTCCTTCCCTCCGGGTGGAGGCCCACAAATACTATCCGGGTGCAAAACCTCTCCTCTCCGGATGCCCTTCCAAATAGAGGCTCTTGTACTGAATGTCAAATCTGAAATGCCCCCCCCCCCCCCGAAGAATCTGGTTTCCTCACAGAAGCCCAGCGTGGATGGGCCCCTTCCGCCAGTACTTGTCAACACTGAGAAACAAGGCCAGGTTTCAGCAGGACGGGACCCCTGCGTCGAGGGAGGGAAGGGATGATGTCGAGTGTAGCCTACTGAATGTCTTACAGACGGTCCCTTATTTCAAAAATAGAGATTCCCATTTAAACCTAGCCTGTCTGGAACAGGCCAAATACTTGACTCTGCGTGCAACAGATCTGGTATCGCTTATAGCGGAGCCCCTGGCGCTGGCGAGCTTCGGGGCTGCAGCGAGGTCACAGACCACAACTCAGTGCCCCACCTCCGCCCGGGGGTCCTGGGGTCCGGAGACCCCCACGCCACGCCGTGCCAAGGTCTGGCCTGCCAAGGTCGGGGATAAGGCACGCCTCTGCGCTCTGCTCTCATTAAGGCTGTACGTTCCCTTCCGACACCAAAACTGCAAGGAACAAATTCTGTCTCGGTAGTTACTGTTCCTGCTGCCACCACAGGGTACAGAACCTCTGAGCTCCCAGGGTCTGGATGGAAAAGAAACTCCTACGGATCCAGAAGAAACGACAACTTCCAGTCTCACGTGTTCCTGCCCTAGTGACGTGCGAGTCAATTAGGGCATCACTGTAAATCTTGGCTGAACGTGACCGGGAAGAAAGTCAGTCTTTATACCCAGCAGTAAACCTCTCTTTCTCATGCATCCCATTTCTCATTAATCCATATTTTTAAAAAGCATTTATTTCCTGAAAACTCCTATAGTTTGATACACAACAAACAAAACAAGACGTAACGAGATTATAAGGAGAACACGTATGAAGTACTATAAAGCACGGGAACGAAGCTGCGTCCCCCTCCTGGACACACAGGGAACGGGGCCCCCGCAGAGCTGTCCCGCCCCCCCCCCTCTGCTTTGGCTGCGTGGCCGCTTCTTCAGAAGGAGCATTACTGGTTCTAGCCCCCTGGAGTGCGGCGCGCACACGCCCTCACCAACCGCGACCAAAGGGAAGCCCCTGACCGCGGGCGCTCCGCTCCAGCGGGGAGAGGAGGCGGGGACGGCTTTCACCATCTACCCGAACCGCCTTGCCAGGAATATGAACCGCCTTGCCAGGAATACGGTAAAACTGCATCCAGCTGTCATCCTACATGAATCATAATTTCAGAAGAGAAGCCTGTTTGGAGCGGGAAAGGTAGGGAAAAAAACAGATGCTGTGGTTCTGCAAGCTTGCCTCTTTTGGTACCAGCACAGAGTGTCACTGTCACTAGGTGTTCAGCAGAGAAACACTGGCCACGGCTGGGCGCCGTGTCTGCGTGTGTGCCAGGGTGGGCCTCAGAGCCCCAGGGACTTCTGTGCCAGCTGCCTGGCGACCCTGCAGAACTGCTCCCGGTCATCCCGCCACATTTTGGAAGCATCCACGTTAGCGCCACTTTCATCATTGGGCTCTGAAAGAGAAGGAGACGCGCTCAGTGTGAAAAGGGCTCTGGAAAGCAGGGGCCTGGCGAGGTCTTCCATTCCACTGAAAAACCCCCGTGCGTCAGTCGTCCCAGAGCTGCGTCCCAGAAGCAAGCGAGCGCCACTGGTGTGTGACACCTGCAGGAGGAAGTCCACTCTATCAGAGACAGACAGGAGCCTGCCTGAGGGAGGGGGGCTGAAAGGCTGCGTGACGTCAGGGACACGCACACGAGGCACAAAGACCCACCTCGTGATCCTCACCTCTCGAGCGTCTCGAAGAGCCAACCTGTGTCATGTGTCTCGCTCTACAAACACTGGGCCCCCGTCAGACAGTGGGCTACAGACGCCCCCAGCTCCGGCCAGAGGACGACATGAGGTCGGTGTCAGGCCCAGTGGACACCTGACCCCAGCAGGCGCTGCAGACAGACCAGGACACACGCAGACAGGCAGCCGGGGCCTGCGGGGCCGGGAGCTGGAACACGGCCCTGTGAAGCGCTGGGTCAGAGCAGAAAAGGCAGCACAGAGCCCAGCACGGCTGCCGGCACGACCCCAGCCGTTCCCTCACCCCCGGCCGCGCTTGCCTCCGCGGCCACCGGGTCTCCGTTCCTCCCATTTATTCCACAACCGTTCCTCACCAGGTCGTGTGCATGAGGCCTAGTGCAGGGCAGCAGGTGTGCAGGGGACACGGTGATACGGGCCCTCAGAGGGCACACCGCCCAGCAGGCCTACACACTATGAACATGCACACCTGTATCCTTCCAAACTCAGTGCTACAAGGGAGGTGGAGGACTGGGCAGCCTGCAGGCCCCAAGAGGGGGTGTGCTCTGGGGACCCTGGCCAGGCCTGCCACAGGGAGCAAGCAAGCACGGAGCGAGCCAGCCCCACCCCCACCCAGCACCTATGACAGCCCCACTCCCCAGGCCCAGACGGCTCACAGCCTCCTAAAGCCAGGACAGAGGGCGCCAGTGGGCGGCAGGGCACCGCCCAGCTGGGTGCGGTGACATGGCTGGAAGGTAGCTCAGAGCACAGGACACGTACTCAGAGGGAGTGTGTGAGGAATACATTAAAACCTTTTATTTTTTTTAAAGCAAGCTCCATACCCAGAGAGGAGAGCCCCACACTGGGCTTGAACTCACGACCCTGAGACGGAGACCTGAGCTGAGATCGCAACTGGATGCTGGGACGCCCAAGTGGCTCCGTAGGGGAGCATGTGCCTTTGACTCAGGGTGTGACCCTGGGATCCTGGGACTGAGTCCCCCATTGGCATCCCTGCAGGGAGCCTGCTTCTCCCTCTGCCTGTGTCTCTGCCTCTCTCATAAATAAATAAATCTTAAAAAAAAAAAAAAAAGGTTGGATGTTCCACCGATGGAGCCGCCCAGGCACCCCTACATTGAAACCTTTTAGGAATCTGCTTGGGACTCTGCCTCTCTCCACTCTCTAAAATAAGTAAATAAATCTTTAAAAATAAAAATAAATAAATAAATAAAAATTTCTAAAAAAAGAATTTATAGCAAAAACGTTTGTCATGGTATGATTTACAGCCAACATGTGAAGGCAGCGGAACCAGCCAGGCACACAGTCTGGGGGGCCCACACACCGTGAGCATCCACACCTCACTTGACGCAGTCACTCAGTGCCTGGAGAGTTGAGTGCCTCCACCCTCCGACATGCGCACGCACAGAGGTCCTTGACATCGCGGGACACCAGGAGCCCACGGGGACTCCCGGGCCTCCTCCTCTGGGCCTCCCACAGCACGATCAGCCTCCTCCAACTCTCCCTTGTTTCATTTCTTCCGGGTTTTCTAGATCATTCCTCCCTAGGCTCCTCACAGGCCCTTTCTCATCCCGTCTGCCCTGCCCCTCACCCACCGTCCTATGCAGACATGACCTCGCACCCCTCACCTCCACACCCGGCCTCGGCTGAGCAGCTCTTGAGGATGGACATTCCCACTCCTGCGCCTCTGGATTCCTGTCCCTAGAGACAGCAGCCCTCTACCCAGGCACTGAGGTCGGAAACCCGGGGGCCACCCTGCACATCGGTGAGCCCGAGTCTCCCAAGCACAGCCCTCCTCGCGGCCCGCAGCCACCCCCCCCCCCCCGCCTGCTGGAAATCCTTTCGTCCCAGGCCAACAGGCACACGGCTGCAGGGCCTGGCATCCCCACCGGGGCTCGGGCCCCAGGTAAGCACACTTCTGCAGGGCTCCCCTGCCCCCGGTTGGGCCCGAGCCAGAACCAGTGCTGGCAGGACTCCCACGAGAGCCAGATGCCTCACCCCAAATGCCTCTTGCTCCCCCTCCATGCTCTAAACTCATCCCAGACAAACCCGCCTGACAGCCCCTGTGTGTGTCTCCATCTCAGGATGTACGGGTGACGGGCAACCACAGGTGGATGTGGAAAGTCCCTTCAAAAAGCGGGCCTTAAAGTTGGGGTCTAGGGCACCCTGAGCCTTGAAACTCCAGGACCCAGCATCTGCGACACAGCAGGTGCCCCAATCAACACCCACGCCACGGTCGCTATGCCTGAGGCCTGGAGCCCAGTTAATTGTGGTCAACATACAACACATACAACATGAAGCTGTAATTATGAAGTGCGCTTACACTTGGAAAAGAACATACCAACAAGTCAACGACAAAGCAGCAAACAGCATATGTAAACAAACCACGACCAGAAATGAATTATGAAGAACCACAGGAGGACGGAGACGCAGCCACTGTGCTGCCTGCCTGCTGCGGCACGGCCCGGCGGCCTCGGAACATTACCTGCCAGCATGCTCACCACCGACAGCAGGATCTTCTCCACGCTCTGCACGGGGCTCCACCTCTCGGCGCTGCTCTCGTAGCCCATGGGGTCGTCGCCCGGGGCGTGAAGGATGGAAATGCAGACTCTGCCATCGGGGTAGACTGCAGGGGTCAGAACACAGCAGGTGAGCCCAGGGAACGAGTCCGGGGGCCCCACGCTGGGCCGGGCCCACCACGGGAAGGGCGTAAATGGTGCAGACACGGAAAGCAAGCTGTTTGCACCGCTGGAGCAGAGCCCGAGGCCCTGAGTGCCACGCTCACTCCCACACGGCCAGGTGGGCCACTCGCTCACTGACCGGGCTCTAGGCCCATCTGTCTGGTCCCAGGCACCCCAGATGGTTCTACCTTCACAGGGATTTTATTTTTTTTACATACTCTACCTAAAGGCACTAAATAAAATGGTTACCTGACAGTGAAATATTTCAGCAAAATAACTCATAAGTACTAAGATCACTCAAAATAATTTCCACAATGGTTTCTGAGATTTTCCTAATTCCACCATGAAAACCTGGACCTGGACTGTGCAACTACATCCACGGCGCCAGGAAGAAGGCAACAGGGATGATTTAAACATCAAGGAGGAAGGTGCCCCGACTTTCCCGGGGACAGCCGGCCCCCCGTGCCTCTGGAGGTCAGCCGTGTCCAGTCTAACCCACCCCAGCACGCAGCATCAGGAACCAGACCCCCGCGGTATGGGTAGAGAAAAATGCGTTTCAATTCGCGGTGTGCGCTCAGTCCTGTCGGGGACACAGCAGCACCGGTCGCTTCTCTTTTACACAGGCAGATCCTCAGATGGTTCGGTGTGTGCTGAGGACAGACTCAACTATAAAAATGTAAGCCAAGTGAGCTACAATGATAGAAACAATCGACAATTTAGAATGAATTTACGTAACTCCCCTTCACTCATGAGTTCAGAACCCCACGACCACTGAGGAAGCTGAGTGGCTCTACGGGCCTCTCTGGTGTCCCGTTCCTGGCTCTTCCGTCCACCCCATCCAGCAGTTTCTGCTCTCTGGCTACCCAGAACCTGTGCAACTTCTCGCAGAAGGAACGTGTGTGAGTCTGTCGTGGACGGCAGGACGCCCGAGGGGCCTGGGCACCCTCGGTTTGCACAGTCTCTCTGCCATGAGGGTTCCAACTTCGGTGGCACCCAAGGAACACAGAGAAGCAGCTGTAGCCCTGCCCCCTCCTGTCTCACGGGGTGTCTCAGTTTCATGACCCAAGCCTCCCTCTAACTCCCCCGCCAACTCCTCCCTTGTCAATGCCCGAGCTTGTTTCCACGCTGCTGGCCCCTCTCTCTGCAGGCCCACCATGTTGGTGTCCGCCCTGCAATCTGTCCCCTACACCACAGCCAGTGACCCTTCAAAGACCACACTGGCCATGCTACTCCCTCCCACTCTCCGACTCCCTCAGTGGATCTCCACTGCCCCTGGCAAATACCAAAATCCTTCTTACTGACCAACTTGAACTGGTCTGTCCCCTTTGCTCCTTACATGGGGCCTTTGCATGTGCTAGACCCTCCCCACCTCACAGATCACTGGGTGACTCCTACTGCTCTTCCTGCAGACCCTGAGCTCAAACACCACCTCCACAGGGCACCCCCCTGGCCTCCCGGTATGGTTTTACATTTATCTGTGTTTTTCCATCCACATCTATCCCTGCCTCAGACTGGGAGCTCCTGATGGTCCCAGCCCCTACCTTTTATTATCTGTTCACCCTTTATCCAGCAAGTCTCTGCAAGTGTGAATTATTTTTTTAATTATTTATGGATTGACCGATTTTTATGATATTGCTGAGCCTACTAAGTAGTTCTCAAAAATAATTTTTACAGAATAAAAATAACATATCCACTTACAGTAAGGCCAAATTTCAAAGCTACTTGTATCAATTATTTTAACATGAAAAACGTCATTGCTCTTCTGGGTACACGACTGATTCATCAGTTTGCGGCCACACTGGTATCTGACAGCATGTCACAGGCACTCTTCTCAAGAATGTGCTTATCTTCGATACAATCTCATTATTTTGTAATTGCCAGCAATCCTCTTTATAGTCACATTTTACAATCAATTTAAAATTGTTAACTTTTTCAATTAACTCTATCGTAACATATTTTTAAACTCTGATAGAAAATCCTAAACACAGGCCAAAGTCATCCCAGTATGATGGACGCCCACCCACACGCTCGCACCACCCAACCTCGACCACTGCCACCTCAGGGCCAGCCTTCTCGAGAGGAGGGTTTCTGAGCACCTACCGTGCATACATAACTGTGTTCAAAACGGTCCCCCTGAGGAGCAAACTGCTCACACGTAACATCAGCAGGACACAAGAAGTTCCAAACGAGGGTTTGGACAGCAAGTCCAACAGGGGAGCAGGGGAGTGTCTCCCCAGCTGGGCAATCCTGTGACCCTTTGCAGGGGGAAGGGGGCAGGGGTCTGGGCAGGGTCCCCCGCGTGGAGGTGTTCAGGCAGGCGGGCTACGGGAGGACTGCAGGGTGGGTGGGGTCGCTTGTAAGCCAGGGGGTGTCAAAGGCTCAGAAAATTCTATAAATGCTCTCATGGATTAAATTAGCCATTACCTCTTTTATATGTGGAGAAGCATAGGGAAAGGAATCAGTTTCAAGTAAGAAAAAATTTCTACCAAACAGTATATCTTACTTGCTTTTCTTCTCCACAACCACTAAGATCATGATTTTTAGTGGCAATCACCATTTATAAAAAGGAACACTGGGATCCCTGGGTGGCACAGCAGTTTGGCGCCTGCCTTTGGCCCGGGGTGCAATCCTGGAGACCCAGGATCGAATCCCACGTCGGGCTCCCTGCATGGAGCCTGCTTCTCCCTCTGCCTGTGTCTCTGCCTCTCTGTCTCTCTCTGTGTGACTATCATAAATAAATAAACAAAATCTTTAAAAAAATAAAATAAAAAAATAAAAAGGAACATTATACTAAATAGGATCATTAAAGATACAACACATTTTCTTACTAATTCTCTTATCTATAATCCCCTCTTATAAAAGGAAGAAATAAACAACCACAGCCATTCAGGAATTCCAATCCCTACTACTAGACACTCTGCCAACTTAAGTCCAGTAAATTTATTTAATGACCTTATTTTCCCCTTTAAAATACATGTTTATTTTAGAAAAAAGATTTAGAGACGGAAAAAAGATCCTATTGAAAAAGATCACTTCCAACATTTTTGTGCTACGTTTACAGTTATATACATTAGATGTGAATTTTTTTCGAAAAAAGTAAATTGTAACAAATGTGATTAAACGTAAGCTGCTTTTCAATCATTTGATATAGAACAAGTGTCATTCTGTATTATTAAATATCACTCTAGAGCATTTGAAATATCTAAGCAGCATTCTAACGTTTGGTCTAGTGCAGCTTAGTTAACCGATGCCCTGTGGGTGAAAACCTAGGTTGCTCTGAGTGGTCCCCATCGTTAACCACACCGCCGGAGGCTGGCGGAGGCTGGCAAAGAGCTCTACCCACCCGCTGGAAGGAGGAGCGGACAGGTCAGATGGCACTTTCCTTCATTTACGTTACACCGTCCTTCAACTGACGTCAACACCACCAGGACCAAGTGGCTACAGGTCAAAACACAGATAACTTGTTCCATGTCCTACATCACTGACAGCACCTGTTACCCACACGCAACCCCGAGCCTCGCCTGGTGCTATGGAAACCACTCCCCAGAGCACTTACTGTTGGGATGGAACATCTCGCAGGTAAATCTCATCTTTGGGGGACTTAATGGGTAATCCAGCGGGAAGCTGAGAACGGCAGGAAAGACACCGAACTCAAAGCAGGTGTCCTCTGGGCCCCTAGGAGACAAAAACACTCAAGTCAAGTGGTTTTCCATGTCCAGCCCACTGTAGGAAGCAGCTAGGAAATTTCTACTCTTTACAAATGCACATGAAAGGATTATGTAAATAACAGTGATGCACTGGTGCTTTTTTCTGAATGGGAAAGTAACATCTCATCATCCCATCCCAATCTGGTTTAAGTCTTAGGTACAAGCACAAACATGGAATTACAGGCACAGGTTTTGCATTAATAAAGAACTAATAGCAATGTTGTGAGACCCAAGGGATTTTGTTTTCTGTATGTGTGCTATAATTGCACTTTAAGATAAAGATATAAATTATGCACGTTACAGCACGACTATTGGATTAAATGAAGGGGTAAGAGTTACTATTTCAAAGGCTATTTTTAATTTTTACATGTGCCTAAGAAATGGTTTTGTAACCTTCAAGAAACAGACAGACAGCACACGTGTGATCACTGACTACGGCTCCCGCACAAGGCCAGGCGTGCCACACGCATCAGAGCTGCCAGCCCGGCCTGCAGAGCCGTGCCACATGCCACAGCCCGTGCCAGCGCGGTCACCTGAACACACAGTCACCGGGCACCTGCATGCCCATCTGCCCGGGCTTACCTCCTCATCACACGGAGAGAGGCAGAAACGGACTGAACCACTTCTAAGTCCTGTCAAACTTTAAAACGTCCATGTAAATCAACACTACCCTGAGCCACGTGTGAGACACAAAGGCAGCAGAGAGGAAGAGCCCCCAGCTCAGGAGGGAAAGATTCCTCCCTCACACACCTCACTTACGAATGTGCAAGAGTCGCTGCCCGTGGAAGACTCCAAGACAGTGGCAGCTACGACCATCTCTGCGTGAGCGGAGAGGTCCCTTTAGAAAGGCCCGTCTCTCCAAGCCACGACCAGTGTTAGCTCTACGACGCGGCAGCAGGAGACCCAGGCCCAGCCACTGCAGGAGCAGCTCAACACGGCAGACGTGCCGCCTTCCAAAACGAATACAAGGTAAGGCACAGGAAAAAAAATTACTGAAGTATATCTATTACAAAACAACTTTCACTTTTTGAAAATCATTATGGTTCAGGGATGCCTGCGTGGCTCAGTGGTCGAGCGTCTGCCTCCGGCCTAGGGCATGACCCCGGGGGTCCTGGGATCGGGCTCTCCACAGGGGCCTGCTTCTCCCTCTGCCTGTGTCTCTGTGTCTTTCTCTGTGTCTCTTGTGAATAAACAAAAAATCTTTAAAAAAATATTATGATTCAGTAATAACATAAACTTGCAAAACAATATAAACATTGTTTATTTCCACAATAAAAGGAATATAAAAACTTCAAAAAGAAACTGAACAGAGGCTTTCCTATCACTTGGTGTGGATGCTCAGGCCTTCGATGGCACCAGTGCAGTGGAGGCCAGGACTGCATCCCGGCAGAAAGGGGGATGGGCCGCAGTAAAACAGTCAAAATGAGAACAAGGCGAGAAGTGTTTCGGGAGCCAATTTTTTTCTTCTATTTAAGAGACCGACCTTGATTCTGAAAACTGTGTCCTTGCTACTTTGGGGAAAAACCACAGTGAATAGCTACTCTGTGTTGGAGAGGTGAGTGTCACAACACCGCCCGGAGCCTTGGCAGGAAACCAGGACAGGGAAAGCCACATGAAGAGGTACAAGCGTGGGGCCAGGCTGACTCTGGTGCTGGGCAGGGCATCCGTCCCAGAGAAGGGGCTGCAGGCGGCACAGAGCACCAGTGCCACCACCGCCACCAGCTGGCTGCCGGACCGGGCCGTCCGAGGCCTGCTCTGCGCTTCCTGGACGGCTGTCCTGGACGCCTCTTCCTCTGCACGCAGACCCAGCACAGACTGAAGATGAGAGATTTATGATCATCCCACGCCTCTTCCAGTAGAGGAGCTCCCGGCAGATGATAAACGCCACCCTGTTCATGGTCCACAGGCCCCTGGTAAAAGGCGTCTGGAAGTGCTGCCCTCACGTCACTGTTAGCAAAGTCGAAGTACAGTGATGACAGGCGCAGCTGACGTCCTAAGGTGGTACAGGAGTTAGGAGCCCAACCCAGTTCAAACTGCTAACTCCGAAGGCTGGGCAAACAGGCAGTGTCTCCGAAAGCAACCCTGGCGTATGCCGGGACTGCTTGCCAATGCCTCCGTATTCCTGGCACGGCCCCGGCAAGGGAGAACAAAAGGTCTGGGTAGTGTTCTGGAATGAGCCAAATGGTATTTGCTCAACACTCTGATAACAGTTCTTTGTTTTTCATAATAGGGCTTTCTTTAACATTAAAAAAAAAAATCCACTGGGTCGTCCATAGCCTGGGAAGCATGATCAAACATTTCCGCAAGTGCTCCCGCGTCTTAGGTATCAAAGCTCTTTTCAAATGCCCTCGCTGGCTACTGGTGTGAACCGAGGATTTCCTCCCCCGGAGGCCCCGCGGGCGGCCGAGCCTGCAGACTCGGGGCAGCTCCGGAACCAGGACCGAGAGGCATAATCAGCATCATCCTGGGACGAGTGTTGGTGCCACGCTGCAGACAGCCTCACCGCCCTGTCACTAAACGCCTCATCTCAAAAATAAAGGTACAAGAAGGGAAAATTACAGGAAAAACAAAGCACAAGAAGGAAGGAAACAAATTTACTGAAAACAAATGTAAATTCTTCAAAGCCTGCACATCACTGTCCGTCTACTCACTGAACTCTCGGCCCGCAGAGCCCGACGGAGCCTGAGGACGGGGGCGGCTGCGGGCTGGGCAGGGAAGCCCGCGCCCGCCCTTCCCTCCGATGGCCGAGCACCGCCCAGGGGACGCCCGGGGTCGAGAGCTGGCCACGAGGGTCGCGCCCGCCGCAGGACCCGAGAAGACCCGGAGAGGTGCTCAGTTAAGCGAAGCAGTGACCCTCCCCGCCGCGCCCTCGGCGTGGCTCTGGGACGGCGGCCGGGGGGTGGAGGGCGGCCTGGGCGGGAGCCACCTGCCCGGCACCCGGCCGGCACCCGGCACACAGACACCAGGTCTCAAACCCGCCTGGGACAAGGGTCTTGGCCATGGGGACCGAGCAGGCTTACTCTCCAGTCACACCCCCACGGCTGCAACGGAGGGGCCTGCTGCTCGGTGGCACCCCCTGCCAGGGCCGGGGCCCCACGGAGCACCCCGCGGGGGCCAGGAGGGCATCTGCTGCCAGCATGGGCGTCACCTCCCTGCACCCGGCGCCCAGGCTCAGGGAAAGCAGCTCACCAGCACCCCAGCTCACCCACATGGCACCACCCCCCACGGCACCCCCAGCTCACTAGCGCCCCCGCTTGCATGCCCCCCCCAACGCTGGGGTGCTCTGGAAGGGAGAGCACTGGGGCTCTGCCCCGCGCTCCTGGCCTGGGATGCCTCCAGCTGCTGAGCTCCACTCCCCGCAGGGACAGAAGGAGCAGCACGAGGGCCCCAGGCCCCTCTGGGTGGGGGCACCGGGAACCCACAGCCCCGCAGTAAAGGCGGCTCAGGCTCTAGGAGGCGAGGAGCAGGGGGGCTCCGCTGGGACGGAGCGGGGGGCTCGGCAGATGCAGCCCGACAGTGGTTCATGACCTTGTCTTGTCGCCCTCCGCCAAGGGAGCAAACACAGGCTTTCTTCTGTGTCACCTGCCCAGACTGAACCTGTTCAAAAGGAGGCTGCAGGCGGTCTCTAAGGTGGGGACTTGGTGCTCCAGACACGTCTGAGAACCTGAAATCCACCGATCCGACCTACAGTTAGAGCGGACTAAGTCAGTCTACCGTCCAGGAACTTCATAGTCAGTCCTGACAGACAACAACTCTTACGACCTAAACTGACTTGAACCAGAAAAGTCTGTTGGAAAACACTCAAATACATGAAGTATATAAAATAAAAACAGAATACTCCCCCTCTGCACCCCCTCCAGCATCGCCTCCCCAAGGCAGACACAGTAAGTACGGTCACTCTCCAAGCTTGTCTCTCTGTGTATAAATTCACATCTTTGTCCCCAAAACTGGGTTTTCTCAAATTAAAAATGTATCATGGCACTGCTGATGGGAATTTGAAAAGACCCAACAAAGTGGAGAGACGTGCCAGGCACTCAAGACTGTGCAGACGCCCACAGTCCTCAAAGTGACCAGGGACTCCACATAATCCCCGTGGAAAACCCAGCTGGCTTCTCTGCAGAAACTGACACGCTGACCCTCAAATTCAGATGGAAATGCCAAGGACCCACGAAGGGGCAAAACAATCTTGAGAAAGGAGAACAAAATGGAGGACTCACTTTCCAGTTCCAAACCATCCTATAAAGCTACAGGAACGAGGACTGTGTGGCAGTGGGGGCAGCACAGGCCCAGATCAATGGGACTGAATTCAGAGCCCAAACATACACCCCTACATTTATGGTCAGTTGATTTTTGACAAAGGTGCTAAGGCAACTGGACAGCCACACACAAATGACGTTGGACTCCTACTGGATGCCATATCCAAAATGGATCAAGAATGTAAAGGTAAATGTAAGAGAGCTACAAATATAAAACACAAGAGAAAATCTTTGCAACCTGGGGTTGTATGACAGCAAAGCATGATCCATAAAAGAAAAAAACTGCTAAACTGCACCTCATCTAAATTAAAAACCTTTCAGCTTCAAAAGATCCCATTAAGAAAATGAAAAAGGAGCGCAGCCCGGGTGGCTCAGCGGTTTAGCACTGCTTTCAGCCCAGGGCGTGATCCTGGAGACCTGGGACTGAGTCCCATGTCGGGCTCCCTGCATGGGGCCTGCTGCTCCCTCTGCCTGTGTCTGTGCTTCTCTCTCTCTCTCTCCCTCTGAATAAATACATAAAAATCTTAAAAAAAAATTGAAAATGAAAAAGGAAAGTCAGACTGCAAGAAAGTATCTGAAAACCGCATATCCAATAAAGGACTTATATCCAAAATATATAAAGAATTCTTATGACTCAATAAGACGACGACGACCCAATTAAAAAATGGGCACAAGTTCTGAAGTTCACCAAAGACATACGCGTGGCTAGTAA